AACCAGTTTAATAAAAACAAAATAAAAAAAAAGTGTATTAGATATACTATTTATTTATTTTTGTTTGAAGCTCAGAGTAATTTTATAAAAATTCAGCATCATAACTCAAAATAGTTAAGTTGAGTCTTAAAAGAAGTGAAAGCATATATGGGCTTAACTCAAAGTGGCGTGATTTCTTTACGCACAGCAGCAGAAATATTAAAACTGACTGAAGTATAAAAATTAAGCAAAACCTGAATTTGTTTAATACAAAAATAAACAAAAATCAAATAAAAGTATTAATAAAAGAGTAAAATATGTTAAGAAAAAAAAGATATTCACTTCTTTAAAAACTATACTTTATTTGCAAAAAAAAATATAATAAAAAAATTAATTTTTCTTGATTTTATTCCATTCTAATATACATAAATTAATAATTCATTCTAGTCAATTATTAATTTTTTTTTAAACTAATAATTATAGAAATTGTACTTTGTCACTTATATAAAAGTGGTAGCTTTGCTATTTTATTAACAATTAATAATTACTTTTGAATATCGATTTTAAGCAAAAAAAAATTTTTGCAGATAAACTTATATTCCATCATTTCACATTGAACTTTTTTTTTGGAGCATACCAAAGTGACGTGTTTTTATCACGCGATAATATGGCATGATCGACGGTTTTATTGTTAAGCAAAAAATTTATAACCGCGGTTTTTGTTTCAAAGCTTATAGATAACAGTAAAAACAAAAACAAAAAAAAAATATTTTCGTACTTAATACCAATACAGTAGTACTTATTTATTATAGTAATATACTGATAAAATAGTTTTAACTTAAAATATTTGAAATGTTTATAGTTGGAAAAACAACTGATAACAGTACTTAATATTTTTAAAGATATTTTCCAAATAAATTTCCCAAAAATAATGAAAAACAAACAATTTGCTACAATATTTTATGAACATTAAAAACTTATTATCAATAAAATAAATTTTACTACAAAAATATTGATTGACTATATAAGTTCAATATTTTTAAATCGTATTTCTTATAACGTTTGCGATTGTCTTCATCAATAAATCGTTTCCTGATGCGAGGCTACCTCTTTCTTTTCGTAGAAAGGTGTTTTTAAATGATGGGTTCCAAGCCCGACACATAACCTCATATATCTATGAAAAGGATTTCGGTGCACACATTAGTTCACTACGCACGGATGAATGAACTATCCAGAGGGGGCCAAGTGAAGGCTGTGTGTCAACTTGGAGAGAACAGTGACCATATTAAATGCAAGCAGAATCTTTACCTTGCATGTTTACTTTCTTTTTCCTCTTCCACCGACTCAAATTGCCATTGCGAGGAACGCGTTTTGAGACCATAGAAGTCATAAGGTAAAAGTCGCCACACGAAAATTTTTCGACTTTTTGTATAGACGCCCAACAAAAACTAATTGTACGATATGCGTTAAACTTTGACAGAATGTGTATAATAGTATTGCCAGCGTGAAAATAAAAAAAAATTACCGATTGGATAACCGCGGGAATTCAAAAATAGGCCTCTCATTCTTTTTTGATCAAAAGGTATAGTAGCTTTTTTAAGGAATCTAGATGATTTTAAATCCTCAGATTTTTGTACTGTAAGACAATTAGCTAATAAGTCTAAATGAACCCTTAGGATCACCGTTGGAAAAGCTATAAATGATTTATCAACTCTTATTGTTTGATTGATATCGCTAGGAGACGAGTACTATTGTTTGTTAATAAATTAAATAAAGGCAGTAACTTACAGTTATGTGCAAAACAATTGTAACAAAGCCATAGTCGCAGTTTAAGTGAAAATATTACTACTAACAAATAGGTAAAAAATCAAAGTATTAATTAATATTTATTAAGTACTTTATTTATTTTTTGATGTATAAAATAAATTAAGAAACAATACATCGATCTCGTTGAGATGTCCCGTAACAGACTTGTCGTAGGATTGTTAATGGTTCACAGTTGTTTAGGAAACTATCCTAGAAGATAAAATCCCCGGTTTAATTAATCCTGTTGCTGTTTTTTGGGACAACAATAAAATTCTCTCATATCTGCTTTGTTATTATTCTGTGTGGCGATGATTGAATAATAAGGGCCTACCTTGGATGATCTTGGCCACCTTCAGGACCTTCTTCTAAAGACTATTTTTAAACATCTGAATTCTTATACCTATTATTTTAATAGGTCAGTAGGCCTACGTGAATCCTTAGGATTGTCGATTTAACCCAAGTTAAACTACAAAATCATATCTTATTTCCATATAAAAAACTTTTAAAAGTCAAATTTTGTTATTGAGCAATTTTTCTTTTTAAACACATATTTTTATAAAAGGGGTTAAAATACAATAACATATATACATCTGTATCTTCATTGTACAGTACAGTAACTTCCTATTAGCGATTATTTGTAAAAATATAAAATAAAACCTAACCGTTACTAATGATTTTTTATAATAAATTTAATAGATTTAAATAATCATTTGTTATGGTCATACTGAATAGCTTTCAGCTATTTATTCATTATATACAAATTAAGAAAATAATTGAAAATGAACAAATTTCCTGTGTATTCGGTAATTGTATAATATGTTTAGCTCATGTACATTCTGGTAAATTATTTTTCTATGGCACTTTTAGGGTTTCTGCAACAGCAGCAAAAGTTTTTCACTTCAAATTTTCTATTCATGCTCGTTTACGTTTATACAATTGCATACAATATATACAAAATTGGCAAAAGTTAAAAAAAGTATAAATAAATATTTCCTAGCAACTGTTAAAAACATTAGTCGTTGCCACATGTACTTGCATGAGTTTTCCTATTTTCGTATTGACGTCAAGGATGACACCTGCAGTGGCTTCCCTTTTGGGATTTTTTCAATTGTATCTTCAAATCAAAAGTGTTGTTATCTATATTTAGAGTTATTATTGTTATAATATGAATTATTCTTTTACCATATTGTAAACCTCGTAATATCAAATACATTTTCTTCATTCCATTGTGTTCTTAAAAGAACATTGAGACATAACGAACTTTTTCCAACTGTAACGATTTCTGGTTTCAAACACTTGGAAGGAATAAAATAATTTTCAAATTTGAATAATTGATTTGCAGTCCAACAAATTATATACAGACTATAAACTAATTGATTTCAAAGTCAAATATTTCCTAACATCACTAATGCTAAATACTTGACAATACTCAAACAGTGTTATATGGTCAGCCGAATTTCAATAAAGTAATCAAATTTGTGTTGTTGTTTCTTTATTACTGTTCGAAAAGTTGTTAGAAAGACTAAGTATAATATTTAATTATGATAAAATATTCCCTATGGGTGTGGAAAAATTCGGTTGGCGTTCGTAGAAAATTAGAAAATCATTTAGATAAACTGTCCTATATATTAATCTTTTATACAAATGTATATCTGAAGCGATTTAAATATACATCAAATATTAAATACATGTTAGAAAGATTAAAGATAATGATTAGTTATAATAGTATATATGTTACAGATCCGAGAAAGTGTAAGATGCCAATCGCAAGAAATTGGAATCTAAATTAGGCATACTACTTAATATATTAATTAGTCATATTAGTATGACTATGTACTAGTCATATAAAGTATGTCTATATATGACTACATAGTATATTTTAAAAAATCTAAAAATGATTATATTATAAAAATCTTATAAGAAAAACCACGAGTGTTCTTTTATTGTAATAATACATTCATTATAGAGATGGATAAGTTTAGGAAGGTGATAGCAAAAAAATTGGGATCTACTTGAACCAATTTATCTGTCATATAGTTTGAAAAAATACTCAATGACTCATATTTTCATTTTTTTCGACATTTTGAATGAAATATACTTCCGATGTAGAATATTTTTTTTAATTTTTGACAACTTACAAAAAAAATATTTTTAAAAATATATTTTGTAATTTTTTTGTTCATTCAATTTTAATAACATAAACATAGCAATAAATTTCCTCACATGATTAATTCAGTTACTTTGCCAAATTTTCTGTATTTTTCCTCTTGAAAATATTAAAGTAAATAAAAAAAAGTGAAGAAAAAGCTATTTTAATTTATATTTGAAATATACAATAGTTTTTTTTCATCTCAACGACCTCTAGTTATTAGTGTAAATAATCCAAATACATATTTATATAGCAATATTGCGCACCGTCAAAAAAGGAAAAAATAATATTCTTAAAAATTTTCCGAAACTTTTTCAAGATTTTTGCATTTCGGTGAAGCATTTGGGCATTCATCCATTTTTAGAACGCTTACCTTGGCCGCACACAAGTACAAA